ACACACACACACACATATACACACACACATATATATATATATATATATATATATATATATGTGTGTAACTCAGTGGAATGCATGCCAAAGGTGGGGATTGCATGATGAAGACGAGGAGAGTAGAATGCAGCCAAGGATGACTTGCCGGAACAGATCCATTAATCGGTCCAAATCAATTCGCAATGTCGATAATGGCGAAATTGTTCCCGGCAAGTTGTCCTTAGGCTACATTTTGCTCTCTTCTTCTCATGCGAACCCTCCGTTGGGATTCTGCTCCGTTCATCCACCTCGTTTTCCACGTAAACCAATGGTAATTATCCATATATATATATATACACACACACTTCGAAATTTTATACAAGACAAGTTATTTGGCATCATATTGCATAATTAAGTTCGACCGATAGCTTAAACTAGTCGGTTTATGCATTCAGAGCCATGCTTTATCATAACAACTTACTCAAGGTTCACACACCATGAACGTGGAGTATATTTTATTTATCACCCAACATTCATTTCCACGTACTTTAGATATAGATCCACATGCTTTTGGCCCCTTTTCGTATATTAGCTATATCTTTACGTACGTATACATATATATATATATATATGTGTGTGTGTGTGTGTGTGATAAAGATCAAAGGGGGACGAGATTTGCGGGCGTTGTCGGTTTTGGGAATCTGATGATATTACAATTGAGAAAACAATCCGACAAAAAGTGGATTTATGAGTAAAGTGAGATTTAATCTTAATAGTACGTGGTAAATTGTATATCTTCATCATCGCATGTTGCTGTTTTCTCAGCTTTTTTATTTTACGTGCATCAATCATCATCATGTTGTCATCAATCTTTTATCTTGCATGACATAAAGGTCGTAACCATCAAACTAAAGGTAATTCCACTTTTCATTACCAAGAAAAAAGGGTGTATCGTTTAATTCTAAGTAGATTTCGAGGAAATTATATCTTGTCGTTATTGTGTATTTGTACAACTTACATCAAATCCATCCATACCAAACTGTGGTAAACCCGTCTCATACTCTTGATATAAAATGAAAATTTTAAAATCTGTTTAAAATCTGGCAATTTTATGTAATCGATTAAGATCATATCGATTAATCAATTTGATTTACTCTATCATGTTTTTTTTTTATAATCGGGTTATCTCAAACCCAAAGGCCCAGACTAATCCCGACCCATGCGCACGACCCTGCAACACACACGTGGGATGTGAAACATCCGAAGATGGCAGGAGGGGAATCTCCATACTCTGGGTGTTAAACCCACGACCTCGTTTACAGGAAGAGAACTCTCAAACCAACAGAGCTGGGGATTCCCCTTATTTACTCTATCATGTTGCATATATATATATATATATATATATATATATATATATATATATATGGGGGATTTCTGCTGGCAATTGTATCGTAAATCTAGTAGACACAGCATAAGTTGCACTAACCAATCATATCCGAAACGACGCATGAGAATAATAATTAATTTTCATTTGATTCGCAACCAATATACTGTAATATGTTTCTAATCTTGTTCATCACAAACATAGCTCTACCCTTGATTAATATATCATAACTAGACATCTAACGTACGCGGAACACAAACCACATGCTGTAGATTAGCATGCATACACCGATTAGAAAGAAAAGAACAAAAGAATAAATAATAATATTATAAACTCAACTCTCTATTATTTATAACCACACGCGTTGCGAGAAATATATAAAATGCTAAGGTGATTATAATAATCAAGATTTGATTAGGAAAATGGAGTGCTAAAAAGGGAGGGAAGCAAGAGAACAAGTTGGGCTTACCCTAAATGGATAAGGTCATTGAAAGACGCAAATGTCGGGAGAAAATATATACATACATACACACACATGTAAGTATAGAAACATACGCAAGCATATAATATAAAAAAAATGAAAAAGCTGTGATTCTCCTTTGCGTTGTCGAAGCGAAATCATCTTACCTTTTAGTGCCAAGTTGACCATAATAAAGGCATGGCATGGATGATCGATGATCATGTCATGCCTTTTCTTGTACACGAAATTCTCTCTCTTTGAAACTATGACTATGTATGGTGTTATGTAATGGTGCATGCACTATATGTCTCGACACAAATATTCGTGGTTTCATTTTCGGTCGAATATTTTTTTTCCCACTTATAATATTCTTCTAAGTGCATTAATTATGCAAGAAGGAAAGATTTGATTAGGTATGTGATGTTCTTTGTATCAATGTTGGAATTCTTACTGAAACTCAGCTGCTAAGGGATACATTCATTTTGACTTCTCTGTTTTTTCTAAAAAAAAATATATAGTTAGATTAAAATCACGATAAATTTATGAATTATAAAAAAATGTTGGAAGTTTTATGAATTTCCTATTAGTGGTCCAATATATTTTTTTGTGCATTTTAGCATAACTACCAATATAATAACTACTCTATCTTTAGGTGTTGAATGGGAAGTGGTTTTCGGAGTTTTTGGATTTTAAAAACCGAAAAAACCGATAATTAAGACTTTGAATGGAGATGACTTTTATTTTGGGTTTTTGATTTTAGTTTTTGGATTTTGGTTTTTAGTTTTTGGTTTTTGGTTTTTGGATTTTATAATATTTGAAAACTCAAAAAAAGTAGCTTTTGGTTTTTCATTGATATTTCACTAAAATGGCTTTCCAAATTTTTAGCAAAAGTAATTTTGTAAAAACTTGAATGTTATTTTTTTTTGTTTTTGGATTCTAAAAACTCCAAAAACTCCTACCATTCAAGGTTTAAGTTTTTTGAAATTTGGTTTTCCTAAAGACCCGAAAATCTACTTTATGGAAAAATTAACTAAAAACCAAAAGCAACATTTTTTAGATTTACAAACTTATAAAATCCAAAAGACAAAAACCGAAAACTAAAAACCAAAAACCAAAAACTAAACCCAAAAACCCTCAATCTCTAAATACCGCAATTTTTTTTTTATGTAGAAAAACATTATTAAGTAAAAGGGTTGTACGTGTTTGGATCACCAAGTCTACCAGTTATAAAGACGCGTACACCATCAATTGTGAACTGATGAAGGTTTACCAAATTCAATCAATTCTTACAGCAATTTCATCAATGGTTGGAACTTAGAGGTACGTTTATAATTCGATTTGATTCCGCATGATAATTATCATGATCTTATAATATGTTTAAAATTGCATACTGAAGAAGATCATGGCTTAGGAGATTTCAGTTTCATTCTACAGTGATGGTTCAATGTCTTTGTATATGCTTGCATGGAGATGTGGCAAAGTTAAAAGAAAACCTTTTTAGGAAAATGTTCTAAATATTGATATTTAATTGCTACATTAAAATAACCAAATTGAATCATATTCGGTTTCCAACTTATTTTCCAAAAATACTAATGAAACGGTTTTCTGTATTCTCAAAAATTCAATATTAAATCAAGTACCTTAAAAATTAAAAACTATATTATATTTTAATCATTTAACTTATAATTTCCGGTATAAAATGTTCAATTTGGTATATGTTGATTAGTTTCCAATATAAATTAAAAATTAGAATCGGAATTGTTTGACAATCGCCATAGTAGAAAATGGTACGTCCATAGAGGAATCAAAATCAAAATCCAAACCATGGCACTAAAGACCATTGCTTCTATAACCTCTCCCGCTCTGGTTCCCTCTGAAGCTCGTCCTCCTCGGCCCAGCCGCCGTTCCTCGGCCGCCACCGCCGCCGTGCTTCAAGGGCACGACTCTGTCGATATACGACATTCCCGGCGAGTTTCTCTTCTCTTTCGGAAGCCGACGCAGCTGCGGCAACCACCACGCCACGTATTCTCCCTCCGGATCATACGTCTGCGCCTAAAATCCGATTTTTTTTTTTTTTTGAAAAAAGACGTTTTCATCATCTTCTCATAACTTGGTTGGATCGGTATCATTAAGGGTATGATCGTAAATAATGGCTAGATGCCTCTCGGACACAATCTTAAGAACCAAGATGGACGGATGTGGTGTTCTTGCAAATAATGACTTACTTGTTTGGGAATGCTGAAATACCGATCTTCACGGGGATCATTTCCGACACCTTCATTGTCATAACCGATATCGTTAGCACGGTCGTTATTAGTTGTTTGGACTGTAACGCAATTCAATCTATGGGTAGGCATGGGAACCGAATCTTTGAGTATTCGCTCGATCCGCGAGTCGAGGGGGAGAGGGCGAGGCGAGAGACTGGAAAGGGTGAGAGGGCGAGGCGTCGACAAGGTTAAGAGAGAGGGCGATGACCTTGCCGCTCGAGTTTCGTCATTTTAAAATCCGGGTTTCGTGTTTCGAAAGGAAAGCCCAAAGGGCTCACTTGCCGCTACCTCGCCCAGCCTCCGACACCTCACCACTCGCCTTGCCTCCACCCTCGCCTACCTTCGCTTGCTTTGCCAGTCATTGCTCGCCATTTCTGTACGTCTTTCTTCTCCCTTCACCTCTTTTCTCGCGATCTCTCCGAATGGATAACCCGCAGGTACCCGGACTCTCGCCGCACCGTACGGTACACAAATACCCGACCCTCACAAGGCTAAAATCGTGTAATCCAACCGAAAAACTCGAGGGGGTTGAGGCCAAAGTCAGATAAACCGAAAAACTCAAGTGCATTGTGAAAGAGGCATAGTACCTGCTCCATAGGTCCAGTTCCCGTAGTTGGAACATGGATCGTAATCCAAAAGACACGTCTCGAACCATTCAGCGCCCATCCGCCAATCCAAGCCCATGTCCCGCACGAGAAACGAACAAACAATCTGTCAAAACAACGCCTTCAATAATCAATCCATGAAACAGCGAGTGATGAGAGAGCAAAAAAAGATAAAACAACCTGTCGGCCTCTATTTGACATGAAACCAGTAGTAGATAACTCCTTCATGTTGGCATCTATCAGAGGATACCTGCGTATTCAAGAATCTTATCCAACCGTCTCTGCATGGAATCTAAATTCCAGAATTTTTTCGATAAATACGAAAAACGATTCGGGAAAGTATCATCTCTAACAAAGATTTTAGAAAAACTCACCCGGTCTTGCCGTCTCTCCAAGCTTCAAAAAGCTTCTTATCTTGACTCCATCTTCCTTGCACATTTCTCGGCCCACCTGCCGAAAAAATAATCTGAGTAAAGATTCACTTCTCTTATTAGAGGCATTGGATCGGGGTTCATCTCATAGACTGCTATACAATTCATTGAGAATACACTCACACGCCAGAAGGCTCGAGATTTACGTGATCCCGGTGAAGATAATAACATTTCGCATGGAACCCATATATTGGTCCATGGAACATAACATGAAATGATGGTTATCAAGGAAAGTTTGCATTTTTTAACCGCAAGCTCCGAGCATGCGATTCAAATAGATTTAGTAAGAAAAATTACCAAGATGGAAGAGAGAATTCCCGTATTTGATCGAGAGAAACTTGAAGTAGTCCCTCCATATCAATTCAAACAATACCCTGAACCATGTATCATATCAATATATTAATCCAAGAACCCGAAATATTTATCCGTACGCAAGGAGGTAAATGCAATGCAACAAAGAGAACAGAAATTCGGAAACAGATAAAAAAAAAATCCATACAGATACAAGGGCTTTACCAATATGTCGAGTTATTTGCTATCCTTTCTCTTTCATATCTTTTAACCTGAAATTTTCCAAAACACATAATATCGAACGTGTATACACCAAGATTCTGATATTCTTATGAATCTAGACAGAAAATATGGAAAAGAAGTTTGGAAGATGACCTCTTCATAGATTAAACGAGGAGAGATACACCCGAGGGCAAGCCATGGAGAGAACTTGGTCGAATAATCAGGCCCTAACATCCCATTCCTTGTCTCTTTATATACTTTCAACAGATCCTGAAAGCAAAAGCTATCTTCATATATACACACACAATGGCATAATTGCATGTACACATGGGTCATCCTATAGTTTTTTTCTCTTGCCTTGTTCCAAAAGTACTCGAAAACTCGGCCTAGTGCCGCTGTTTCGCCACCGACGAACCTCATCCCCTTTCTGACCTGCATCAACAGGCACACATAGATTTGCACTTTAAGAAAGTAGCATCCTTTATTCCTTCTCCTATAAAATGTTAGCAGGAAACATTTGCCTACAGAGCTTCTGAGAGGATCCTCACTCGGTATAGACTCACCTCTTGTGGCTGAATATCGAGCTGACCAAGAATTGGAACATCTCCCCAATTGTCAACAGAAGGTGTTGGCCCGAGAGAGAATGGAACGCGAGTGCAGCTTCTGACACTACACTTGGCTTCCACTGACTGCAGACATGTCACAACCATGACTCTGAACGAATCAGGAAATGGGTCGATTACTGTGTTTCATTTTGTTTTTTCATCGTGTTCGTGTCCGGATCTATCCGTAACTATGTTGGATCACATTTCTTAATGTAATTTGTACAATCAAACATGAATCTTGCCAATGCTTTAAGAGTTCAAAGATAGAAAAGTCACTTGGTAATGTCCTGAGCGAATCTAATTTCATCTTTAGCATATTCTATATCCTTTTAACAATTTCCCCGACGAATTTCCTACTTAACAAAGACAAAACCGGACTCATACCTTACGGAACTGAGTGTAGACATCAGGCAAGTCAACAGCCGCGAAGGGAAGATCGTCTATGTGGTACATTGTGTTTCCCCAAATGAGTTGTAGTTTAGCCCCATTCTCGGGTCTTCCACTGGCTTCTCTCAGAGCTTTCTGCATCAGTCTTTCAACTCTTAGCTCCTCGCTGCAGGTTTCTTTGTGGGCGAAAACCTGGAAAAAAAAGTCATCACATTTTCGAGAAACATCAAGCTCCTAAGAGACTTGAAACTGTGTCAGCACCAACAAAACAATTCATCACCAGACTTAACTGTATGAGCTCCAAAATCTTTGGCGAGAGAAGGGATAATGTCCTCGGGTTTACCGTTCCGGATAAGAAGATTAAGCCCTCTCTTGATCAAATTCTTCTTCAGATCATCCAAGCATTCCATAAGAAATGCAGCTCTCAATGCTGAAACACATTGCGATTACCAAGACTATGTAAACCAGGAAATGAAGCGATAAATCAAATTCTTCTTTGGAACTAACAGCATACCCATCACAAAACAGCAGAAACAGAGTCCTCTCTGTAGCAAAGTCGAGACCTTTTCACCATTTTCACACAGAAAAAGCTCTGAAGTGTAAAGAGAGAGAGAGATACCTCCAGTTTTGGGGAAGGCAAAGTAATGGGTTGTCTGAAAGAGACGAGGATCCAAGCAATACACAGGCAAAAGGGTGTCGGAAGAAACCCAGGCTCTGTACAAAGCATCATTATCGAGCACTCTGAGATCATTCCTAAACCAGAGAATAGCGGTTCCTTTTCCGATCCTCTTAGCCGACCGAGACGCGTATCTCTCGAATGCTTTCCCGGCGGCGGAACCCATCTCGCCGTCGTCCAGTCCGGGGACTCGGTGGATATCGGTGTTCATTTTTCCGGCCGAACAAGAGAGGAACAGAGACGTGGGCTTTGTTGGGTTTATGCTGAATTTGCGAAGCGGGACTGCGAGGTTACAGTAGAGCGACGAAGCCATGTATGTAGACTTCTGCATAATCGCATCCGAGTTTTGTTTCTTTGACGGATTCGGAAGCTGACACGTGGACGTCTGGCTGTGATGGTGACGTGGCCGTTGTTTAGCCGTTTGTCTGTATCTATGGTCGATTTGTCACGACGAAGACCACGAAATACATAGAATTGTGGGCCCAACAAATAAATAATGGCCCAAATCCAAAACTATGACCATATAAGCCTGACCAAAATTGTCATAACGGGTTCACCGTTTTTTTTTTTTTTTTTTTTTTTTTCTCATCTTTTATGTCACCATAGTTCTTAAAACTAATTAATAACTAAAGACGTTATATTTTCGCATTTATATGTGTATATAAATATGCAGCTGCATCTTTAAAAAAATATATTATCATGGCAAAATTTATTCTAGGGATACTAATAATACTATAAAAATCTAAAGAACATTAGTTTAGTTTTATTGGAAATACTATATACAACTAATATTAATTATCCCTTTACCAAAAAAAACTAATATAAATCATTACTATTAATTTTTTATAAGTTATTTAAATAGAGAAGACTAAATTTAGTAATATTGGAGGTATAGCTCCCTAAAATTATTATTATTATTATTATAATTTGGTACGAGATATTTATAGATGACAGATGTAACTAGGGGCTTACAAGATTGCAAACCCAAATCGAAACCAATCAAATATAGCTTATTCAAATCAAATTCAATTTAAGGATAAATGAGTATCACTTTCTTAATTAATGGAATTCAATTCGAATATAAAAATAATCGAAAATTCTGAATTAACCAAAATAAGTATTTTTTATTAAAAAAAACATGAAAATTAATCGAAGCCAAATGGAACATGTGTCAAACTAAAAAATAATACAAAATCTAATGGATATAACATTTTCCAAAACTTGAGGCTAAAAATAATCGGATCGAAATGAAATCCGAAATTTTAGACAACGGCTTCTTCCTTACTCTTAAGCGTGATCATCGACCTGTCATTTAGTCCTAATTACTTTTTGTTAATTTGTAATTAGTTATATGCATCCCCATCCCTGCCCACCAAGTTGTTATTCCATTCAACGCATTTAAAATTCACAAAAATATATATATATATATATATATGCCTGCTCTTTTTTATATATTCTCATTTATTCCACACCTTTAATTAGTTCTAATTCCATATTAAATAATTCGTGGCATCTCCAAAATCATTTGGCCGTCGATGGTTTTATCTTTAAGTTTCCACGTTATTATTTATTCCTCTCTGTATATGTGTATGTGTGTGTGTATACATGCACATATATACGAGCAGCCCTCACTATATGTGTGTGTGTGTGTATCGATAGGTCCTATTCGTGTCTGAATAGGGCACTGGTTTTCGTGACTTATACGTTAGTGAGAGTACATATTCTGTTTCACTACTCAGGTAATGGAATACGAACTTATCTTTCTTTTACTATGAAAAAAGATATCATTAAAAAAAAATGCAAGGTTCGTGTATAAGCCTGTGAATGTACACTTAAATAATCAGAAATTGGCTGTCTACATAAGAAATATTAGTTTATGGTGGGAAGGTGAATCCTAAATTGTCTAATTTAGTTTTTAATATTAGTGTATATAAATAAAGTAGTGAATCAAAGAATATATATAGGGAGTTTATATAATATTACTATTGATATTAATATTTATGTGTACGAATATGTTTATATTCGGAAGATGGTTTGCATGTTTGATTCTCTTATATATGCATGCGCCCGACAATGTCATCCCCACGGTGAGTCGTGAGTGTTATTATTTTCCCCCATATATATAGATAGAAAGTTGATTCGTTGTTTAAAAGATGAGAGTGAATGGTGAAAGGGAATCTGAATAAAGTGGTGCTAGATATAAAATTTTCAAGGATTAAATGAATCTGAATACATTAATTGTAGAAGAATTAGAGAGATCAATTAAAAAATAATAACAATAGGAAGAAGAATTACACTAGAGATGAACAATACAAGAATCGACACCAATTCAAAACTAGCGTCTACAATATGTAAAAGCAAAATGAATCGAATCGAATTATATTTAATTGTATTACAAAAATTGATTGAATATAATTGTTCTTAAAGTAAATTAATTGAAGTAAAAATAAATATGAAAATAAAAAATCTTGAATTTAAAATAAATTTATAGTAAATAAATATTTTTTTTTATAAAACTCAAATCAAATCTAATTTCTATTAATATTAATTATAAAATTGGAAAAAAAATTTAAAAAAAAAAATCAATGGGGAATGAGGATATATGTGCACAACTCCTACACAACAGGCTGTTTAGAACCGCCGGTCTTAAAACTAGGGCTGGGCGTTTTCGGTTCGGTTCTTCGGAACCGGACCGAACCGAACCGTTAAAACGATATTTTTTCTGAACTGAAACCGATGTTATTTCCCGAACGGTACCATTTTTAGAGAACCGAATTTTTCTAGAACCGAACCGAACCGAACAGAACTTTAAAAAACCCGAAAAACCGAATATTTTTAAAGGAAATCTATCATTTTTTTAATAAAATCCGTAACCGAACCGAACCGATACCGAAACTGAACCGAACCGAATACAATAAAAAAACCCGATTGGTACCTATTTTTGTAAAACCGAAAGAACCAAACCGATCCATTTCGTCCCGAACCCGAACCGTTTTCCGAAACGCTCACCACTACTTAAAACAACTGATGTAAAGAAGAGTGAGAGAACGAATATCAGCTATGTAATTTTAAAAACAAAAGCGATTTCAACAATGATTGATTGGACAAGGGAGAGACAGAGAGAGGGGTGAGAGAGGAGGACCATCAAACCCACGTGGGTAGCACGTGCATACTATGTTTTGCTAGGGTTTGATCAAATTAATGTAAAAAAAAGGACGAATATATATTGATATGATGTATCAAACGATAACGACGTCATACGGTGAAACTGTATTTGTTGATGAAGCTAAACGTGTGACTGTTTTGAGGGTGTTTTTTTTAAAGGATATTGTGGAGGCAGAAGGCACTCGAGGGACTTTTTTTTAAAGGGTTAGGCAATGATGAGAAAAATACCAACAAATCACGTGCAATGCTCGTGCCTCTTATTCTTATTGTAATCATCTTTTTATATATATATATATATAAAATACCTACATATAAAATATTGTAACGAAATGTTGCCAAAAAAGACGAGAAGATTATTGGTAAATGTGAATTTGTGTATATGTACGAAAAAGGGTGGAAAATTTGGGTGTATCACCGTATAGATTAAAACTAGCATACGAATTTCAACAGAGTACGTACATTATGTATACAGTATACGCTTATTGTTTTGCCTGCAGATTCTATATAGAACGGAACTTTTTATTAATTTAATTTAACGTGCTCATCTTTTAATCCGTATAATATAGAATAATCGATTTTCCTTCATTTCATGCATTAAGAAAACCATTTATATATATATATATATACAATAATTAAATCGCTATACATGTGTATGTCTGTGTGTGTATATGCATATGTGTTTGCGAGAGTGTTTCAAAGTTGAAACATCGCCGAACTATGTCTATGTTTAAGATTCAATTTTAATTTCGGACGACATTTTATATTTCATGAATATTTCGGAAGCACAAAATAAAAATAACTAAAAGAAAAAGAATAAGGTGCCAAAAGGAATTAAAGCTTTCACTGTCGAATTAAATTACATTTTCTAATATTATAAAATTAAAATACGTAAGGAAATAAACTAAATGAGCCCTTCGGGGCCAGGTCAAGTGGCAGAAGGCAGGGGGGCAACTCCTTGAGGTGGGGGGATCGAATCCTCCTGCCGCTCCTTCTTCCATCTGACCTGCTCGCCTGCCAGCCTGTCATAACGGGCTGATTTACATCCCACGCGTGTGTCGCAGGCTCGTGCGTTGTGGGCTTGGGGTTTGACCCGCAGGCGCCTAAGCCCAACTACGGCCCGAGCGTTAGGCACGCCTGGTGGCCAGGTCCGGCGGACTGAGGTCCATGGGGATTGTTAGGCGCGGGTGGTGGCCAATTCGTCTCCGTTTGTAAGGGTAGGTAGTCACGGGGGTTCTCCAATGTTATCAAAAAAAAAAAAATAAATAAACTAAATGAAAGTAGAGAGGAGAACCCCAAAGCTTTTTAAGGAGGCGATGGTATTCCATATCCACCGGAATGAAGGGGGCCCACAATATCTAGATTCCCTAACCGAGCACGACAGACATGCCCCACCTCTATTTCTTTTATCAATCCTTTTGTTAGGTTCCCCCGATTTTTCTTTTTGTTTGTTTTTTTGTAAATGTACGAAATTTAATTAAATATTTATTGGATTGAGAATTGGATCGGGATTCACATTCCAGTTTCGAGTTATTTGGATCGGAAATCTAAGGTTTTAGATGAAATATTTTGAATTTCAGTATCTTATCTTTGGAATCCTTGTATTCAGATTTTAGGTGTAAAAAAATTACTCATATAACTATTAAGTAGTAGAATCTGAATTTTTATTTTCGTTTTTGGATGAAATCTTACATTTTTTTTTCCAAAATTTTCGAATATTTGTGGCTATTCAAATTCGATTACATACTTTTATTTTAATTAAATATTTATAATATTGATACAAAAATTAAAGAGATTGTATTCGGATACCAGATTATGAATTCCTAAAATCCAAACATGAATGGGTCCTAAGAATAATCTCGCAGTGGGATGAAACTCGAATTCTCCAAAATCCCCGTTTGATCTAGTCGAGTATTCTTAAATCCGGATAATCTTGTAAACCCTAATACGTGTAATTTATCATTTTGATTATTTTTTAACGATAGATCCATATACACAGAATTGAAACCAGAAATTAAATAACTCAAGTAAACCTGTAAAATCCGCGATATTTAATTTTCAAAAACGCATATTTTGATGCACTTCAAACTAATTATTTCCCCGTACAAGCAACTCAATCGATTGGGTGACGCTGTATTGGTGAACCCCACTGTTCCCTTCCCTTTCGACATGTGCATTATACATATATATACACACCCAAAACACGACATATCCATATATATATATATATATGTATATTGGTTTTAGTGCGCTCCTCCCCTATATATACCCCTTTCAGATTAACTCCCAACTCAACCACTATTTCCCACTCCGAACCCTCTCTCTCTCTCTCTCTCTCTCTCTCTCTCTCTCTCTCTCTCTCTCTCTCTCTCTCTCCACATAACTCAATCGATTGGGTGACGCTGTATTGGTGAACCCCACTGTTCCCTTCCCTTTCGACATGTGCATTATACATATATATACACACCCAAAACACGACATATCCATATATATATATATATATGTATATTGGTTTTAGTGCGCTCCTCCCCTATATATACCCCTTTCAGATTAACTCCCAACTCAACCACTATTTCCCACTCCGAACCCTCTCTCTCTCTCTCTCTCTCTCTCTCTCTCTCTCTCTCTCTCTCTCTCTCTCTCTCCACATCACACAGAACAAGAACTCAAGAGGCTACACCACAAGGTCCGCATATCCTAACCATGTCGGGAGTTTGGGTGTTCAAGAACGGAGTCATTCGTCTCGTCGAGAACCCGAACCAGTCGTCGGATTCGTCGCATGGTCGGAGAAAGGTTCTTGTCTACTTGCCGACCGGAGAGATCGTATCTTCGTACTCATCTCTCGAGCAGATCCTTCAAAGACTTGGTTGGGAGAGGTACTATGGAGGCGATATCGATCTCATTCAGTTCCACAAACGTTCATCCATCGACCTCATCTCTCTTCCGCGAGATTTCTCCAAGTTCAGCTCCGTTTACATGTACGACATCGTCGTCAAGAACCCTAATTCCTTCCACGTCCGTGATTGCCATTGAATTGTAATTGGTGTCTTTGTCGGGTCTCGTTGATTTCACGTGTTTCGCGTGTGCATGGCATGTGCATGTTGGTTTTTATGTCTTTTGTACTTTGGGGCATTGCGGGGGCTTTGTCGAAATTTAAAAAGTGTAGGGATGAGGTTCGCGTTGATTGTAACTGTTTAGTTGCTGCTGGAGTTGCGTAAACGTGTCTGTATATGTCACTCTATTCTAAATTATCTCCGAGATTTTTTTTTTTATAATCTGAAAGTTTATCATACATTTACCCCAATATTACATCTTCCCAAAAGATTGGGTAAATACATCAGCATATATATATATATATAGTTCATTTATTTTGTGCGCGAAGGAAGTCCAACAACCATCGGATTCATGAACCTCAGCGTGTGAAACTAAAAAGACCTTTTAAACCGTTTGTTTTGTGGTGAAACCGAAGAAGTTAATTCCATGATTTTGTTTTCATCAATGGAACGGTCCATTAATGTATATTCCTCAAATTGCTTTGGAATTTTTTTCAATAATTATTCACGATCACTCCGTAATCCCGTTGAAGACAATTCATTCGGTGGATACATTTCGTGTTCATGCATAGTCGTACGTCTTCCCAAACTCTGAAATTAAAAGAACGTGTCGGACTCTTCGGGCCGGAAAATCAGACTTTTTCAGCAGAGTTTACGTGCGAGAGCGTCGAAAGGACATTACACACACACACACACACATATATATATATTATACGCCTTTTGCAGCTTTCAGTGTCCCAAAGTCTTTCCAAAAACCTACAGCTACGTATCTATGTTTAGGGTTTCTGTTTATGGGTTGCATCGTATACATATATCCATGAGATTCACACGCATATATATATATATATATATATACACACACACACATATTCAAATGAAAATATAGAAACGGCTACCAAATACATTCGCACACAGATTTTCTAAATGAAAGTATAGCCACATCTTTTCATTTGCAACAACTTTATTTTCAAATTGTGCAAATAAAATACTTTTGTTTAAAGTTTGCATTATTCCAACTGTTCTTTTAACGGGATTCAACCATTCTATAACCCTTTGGAGAGTTTGAAGTGTGGGGGAGCACCATAAACATTATTGAATTGTAAGTTTAAAGATCCTAATATCAATATTTGGAGATCGTCCTATATATATCCCCTATACACATTGCAGAGTTTGTGGAGAATATCCGTTTGCATATTTTCTATCGTTGCTATTTGGTTTAGATATCCTTAATTATACATATTAGGCGATTAGTTTTTTGTAACCCTAGATCTTGGATAATGAAAATATTCAACAATAATTTGTTTAAATATCTATAAACTATATATCTGTTTTTCGGACCCCTAACCAAATTCTAAAACTTCCAAATCCTTATCTTATATGTTTCATAGTCAATCTTATAGTCTCACTGTCCAGATTTCATTTCCCCGCAAGACACTTCGCCAATTAAACTCCGACATCGATAATTAAAGCACTAACATTAACGTTTCATAACATTAGTATTACATATCGGGATTTGTTTTTTGCTCGCTCGTGGTTTCCGCCGGTGATTGGTGGTTTCATTAATATATCTACTTATACTTTCTATGTACGTACATTCTTAGAAAGGAAACTTAACGAACCACAGAAAATGAATGAATCAAAGAACGTAAAACTGTATTTATTCGATGGTTACAATGGGTTTAGAGGTATTCATATTTCTCCATCACCGTTTATAAATAATCTCACGTATGAAAGATCACATGAGAAAATTATCATATGCAAAAGGTCAAACTGAACCCAATCCAGGTTCGAATCTCCACTTGAGGGACATTCACATGGGTTTTTCAATCGACTGGATGATATAGTCGGACAACAAATTCCAGTGAACTTTCAGATTAAAGAAAAAAGATCGAACTAATTTTTTTTTACATCTCACAAGCCAATGAATCGAACACATGCATACATATGTATATGTGCATCGGTGCATACATATTTATGTATGTATATTGCCGGAGACCATAGACAAAGTAGGTCCCGTGTACCTTAAAAGTTAAAATCATAAATGTTGCATATAAAATATCATTGAGTTGGTACGGCACATAGACATATAAATAACAGATGAGACGTGATAAGCCAATGAGCAATTCACCCTCGACAACATTAAACATTTATATGATTGATATGATTTAAAATAAAAAGATTCCAAAAATTCACGAAAACCAAAAAACTCCAGAGACAAAAAAAAAGGGGGGTAAAGAGGTTTCACGTGAAGAAGGCAATGTCGGCTTCTCCATGAACCTGCTGAAATCCGAAACGTGTCCTGAAGGGACATTGTTTTAAGAACACTTCCCACGGCGAAGGAGCGTGGCTCACGTGGCCTGAGTTTATGGAGGAGGAGAAAACATAAACACATGCATGCATGCATTTATGTATACATGCATGCACATGTATGTATGTATGTTTAAAGTGTATAAATTGAAAAACGTCCAATCAAAATTTACTGTGAATGTACGTAATTTTGACGCACTTTGATAGAATTGGCAACATGCACGTGGCAACTCCTCCATCATTTAAAAATTAAAACCATCACCATAGGGTTTCAAAAAAAAAATCCAATAGTACGTAGGGATGTAAATCAAACCGATCCGACCCGATCCGATCCGAAATCCAATTTAAATCCGATCCGAAAAAGCTTAGGTATGAAACTCAATATTTTTTGGATGGGTTCGGGTGGGATTTCGGGTCTAAATTAACACAATTATAGTCAAAAGGTCTGTATTGAAATGGAAAGAAGAGATATGAACATTTGGGAAATTTTCTCACACTTCCATTATGCAAATTCAAGTGTCTTAAAGTACAACCAGAAGGTTTTATCTGTTTTCCATGTGTGTGTGTATATATACACACGATGACTTTAAAATAAATTAATGGTGTTCGTGTTGTTATTATATTTCAACTTTTTTATGATTTGATTAATTCTTTGCATTGCGTAGATGAATATTGATCCAACACACTCTTCTCCTTATATGTTTAAGCGAAGTCCAAATCGATGGATGTATTAGGGACACAATATCTTAGAGATGTGTATATTATATATACAAAAATGTAATATTTAGGGGGAGTCCCCCATCCTAGTGGTTAGTGACAACTTCCCTCTACCAAGAGGTTGTGGGTTCGAAATCCAGGTATGAAAACTCCCCTTGAACCGGTCAGCTTTACGAGGCTGGTTTATAAGCCGGTCTGCGATGCTGTCCTAATGTCGTTCTCGTCCGGCCCATATGCTGAAAGGCGTTGCGGTGTCCAGTGTCCGATCCGAAGGGTTGTAGGATAGGAGTTTCCCATCGTAAAAAAAAAATATAATATTTATTAAATCTTTAGTTTTCTCATCAATTTTAAAACTCTCGTGTATAAACATTTTACTTTGCTCGATAAAAAAAATGTGATGCATTATTTCGCTGCCAAATTAATTTTTTTTTAAAAGTTTTCACGTTTCAAACAAAAAAAATGTAAATGTATATATTATGTGTATAAAATAAACTCGAGGTGGTGCCAAACGAGAAAGTTCTAGGGGAAACCCCTAGGTGAGTTGGCAAGGAGCATGGTCAACATACCGAGAGGTTGGGGGTTCGATTCCTTGCCCGCTCACCTATCGACTGTTAGTTACGGCTGATTTACCTCTCACGCGTGTGTTGCAGGCTTGTGCGGGTGGACTTGGGTTTACTCGATCACGCTCGAAGGGTAGCAGCCGGGTTCCGAATGTATAAAAAAAAAGAAAGAGAAAGTTCTATTTTTTTGCCCTGCAAATGATTGCTGATATATAAGATATTGTCGGGATCTAGGGTTTTGTGTCTTATATATAGATATCAATGCGTGTAAATATGGTGCACACACAAAGGTAAAACACATAGTACAATGAAGAAAATGATATTATAACAAAAGAAAAAGGAAATGATAGGTGGGTACGCAAATGATGATGTATCAATCATAGCTATAGAAAATACAGCAAAAGCGGGGCATTATCCAAAATACCTCCATTTGCTAAAACTACTTCTACACCTACCCTGGTCACATGTGACCAATGTGACCGAAATATAGTATGGTCACATTTTGATTTTTATCGATTATAACGTTAAATTTATGGTACTCACACTAATTCATTATGTTCATACCTTGTATATCTTACTAATCATTTGATTAAAACATCATAAATTTAACGTTATGAACAATGAGATCAATATGTGACCACACTATATTTCGGTCACATTGGTCACATGGTCACAAGGGTAGGTGTAGAAATAGTTTTAGCAAATGGAGGGTATTTTGGATAATATCCCAGCAAAAGCATGCATGTGACGCTGTTTCCGACGTGAATTAAACACTCTCCACTCTATTTTCCCGTGAAAATATCCCCTTCCAAATTATTCGAAAATTGGATTCTCAAGCAAAATTGATTTTGTATAATCAAACGAAGTCTTAAATTTGTAATTCTTGGTATCTAAAATTACAAACTCAGTTTTGAAATTATTGTTTTTTTTAAAATTAAGATTACTTTAGATTTTTCTCTGTCTTTCATTGAAATTTACGGACTATCTTAACATTTGAAATATAAATAAATTATCCAAAACTTGGATCGATATATAAAATTTATGGATTTCAAATCCTAAGAGAATACTCTCAAATTAGATAGACAATCCCCCATTACCCAACTTTGAATAGTTCAATCGGTGAAAGAGACAAAAAGGTATTTCCGTCCCAAATTCGGATTTCAAATTTAGAGAATGAATGTATATTCTAAATCACATAACTGACTCCTGATCTCTTAATTACTCAGAGCCTTGGGCAGAGGATAGTCGATTACCTAAAAAAACATGCACACCCTCTAAATGAAAAGGAGGGAATGTTGCATATGTTGCTAAGGCAGGACATATGGTTGGGCACGAGATCGCCTCTCCAGGTGCAAAAGAAAGGCCCAATAAGGTAACATTTAAGGCCTATATAAAGCCCAAAAAGGCCCACATGGATTTTTGGGCCCCAATTTACATGTTCCTTCTGATTTGTCGGTGTTGTGCCTTGGCACACTTTTCGTTGTTCTTGTTAGTTCTGTCTCCGACTCATATTTCTTCACTCTCTTCATCTATTCAATCGTCTTCGTCTTTGCCGGGAAAAATTCAAAGGTTAGCTTTCATGGGTTTTCTGTAGGGAATCTATTTTGCCCTTCTATTGGGTTTTGGCTTCTTTGGATCAATTTCTTGTATTAGCCCTTCCCCTCCCCCCCCCTCTCTCTCTCTCTGGGTATGCCTGGGAGGATGATGGATTCGTTCACTTGATAGGAAAAGGAAAAGTTTGTAGATCGTTCACGCGCGTCTAGAAGCTCAGGAGGCCTCCTTCGGTTCGATATCACCGTGAAATTTCGAGTTATTGCGTCACTCTGTTGATCAACTTTGCTACTGGGTTTCAATCAGGAGCTCAATTTTGTTGTAGCGAGCACTTTTCGTTTCGCTTTCCTTTGCTAAGGTTTCTGTACTTTTCAGGTTTTCCCCCCGAAGCGAATTTGGTATTGAAGGTTTCCAATTTATCTGGGCTCAGTTCAGGAAGCTGTTGATTAGCTTACGTGAAGCTCGATATTATTGCAGTCGTTCTCTCTTTTTAAGGTTTCTCTGTAGGGTTCATTTTGTTTAGGAAACTGTTGAAGATTCATTGTAATTGCAGTCGGGAAATTGAGTTTTCTGCAGGGTTTTTAGGCATTCTGCCTAGTGAATTTGGTAATGTAAGATAAGATTGGAAATTCAATTATTTTTAAGATGCAGTTGATTAACTTCTGTGAAATTTGGTTTTATGGTGGTGAACTCTATCCTTCGTTACAATTGATTTCCGAGGGAATGTTTCTCTATATAGGTGTGATGCTGTATGATTAATGGCAATTGCCCTTGTTTCCATATGCAGATATAAACGATGCATTGTAAAGGATTCTCCGATTTCTACTACTATGATGATGGTTTTGATCATGACGATGCTTATGACTATGGCTATGACATAGAGGATCATGGTGAATGACTCCTTGTTTACTTTTTTCCGTGATTTGGTATCTCTTGATGTTGATGTGGTCTTCTAACATCTGTGCTTGATAACTGGCTCTCGTCCTTACATTTTTCTCGTTACCTTAATCAGTCGAAGCTGCTGCTCCTAAAACCAAGGAGGAAGGTTCCCATCAAGGGATTTGGCGATGTGCAGTCTGTACATACGATAATGAAAACGTCATGTCCGCTTGTGATATTTGCGGTGTTCTTCGGCATCCCTCTGTTGGCAATCAAACTACCAATAAGACTGCAGGTGACTCTGTTTCCTTTGGTTTGTCTTCTTACAGGAGTATTGTATGATCATGTATGTGATGCCTTCGTGAAGCGACCACTTTTTTTCATTTTGCTTTATGCTTTATATCTACCTCCACAGTGGAGCTTTTAATTTGGTTTGAGGGCTAAATTTGTAATCGTGTTTCCTATACATGCCTTTTTGCTACATTGGCGATGTTGTCTATATAAAATAGATGTGTTTTGTGCAGTTGAAGGCCTACCCAGAGAATCCATGGTATCCAAGATGGCCAAGTCTCTTTTTGAGCCAGTGGTGTCTCATACACAAAAAAGGGCTGTCCTATATCCACGGGAACATAATAATCTTGTGATGGACCGGGGACCTCTGCCTGGAAGTGCCGGAGGGAATATTCATGAGCTCTACAAGGCTTTTAGTTGTGAAAGATCTTCTGTTAGTATAGGTTGTGAACTTGTTTTTTAATTTTACAATGCTTTTCGCTTTCTTTGATAAGTTAGTTGTGTTGAGAGTCTATTATCAATCTTTTTTTCCATTCATAGCATCTACCACTTGATTTGTTGCGATGTTCTAACATTTCCTTTTCCTTTTATGTAGCACATTTCAAGTTTGATGCTCCATCGCCTGATGATTTGGTTTCCAGTGGACTAATGTCTTTGAAAACGGGTACAAAAGGTATCTAATTTTTTTAACTTGGAAATTGGTGTCATATTTAATGTTTTGTCGTAGATGCTTTTAATTTGTAGCCATTTTCTCGCGTTTACTCTAATCTAATCCATATTGGTTCTTCCATCGAATTAAATCCATATGACATGATTTTGAATTCCAAATTCTGCTTGGATTTTCTATACCTGGAAATATCCATGAAGCTAAGATGGACACAAACATGTGAAGCTCAGGTGGTTCAAGCATGAGACTGAAAGAGCAAATAAATAGTGCCGATGAGCAGAAATCTTTGAAGAACGGAAGTGGCGGTTCAAAAAGATGTTTCAGAGGTAGAGAGAATAACATTGAAGATGATAATTGCTCCAAGGATGGTGCTAGTGACATAAAATCAAGCAAAGTTTTGCCAAAAGCTAAACCAAATATTTCTGAGGAGGCAAGTTCTTCAGCTAAAACTATGGAGGCATCAGAAAGCCTCACTGGTATGAGGAACGACTTGTCTTTGACGGGTCAAGCTCCAAATTCTAGTAATGTTAGAAATAGAAGACCGAGATCAGAATCCAAGTACAAGCCGGAGGAGTGGATACTTCCTGACAAAGAATCAGATACATTAAGTCAACTTAATCTTGCCATTGTGAGTTGCTTCGGATTTTAAGCATCTATTTCTTAATTATTTTATACATATTAGTGATCTTTGTAGTCTAATTGTAGGTTGGGCATGTAGATTCGGGTAAGTCAACACTTTCTGGTAGATTATTGCATCTGTTGGGAAGGATATCTCAGAAGCAAATGCACAAGTATGAGAAAGAAGCAAAGTTGAAGGTAAAGTCTGCCATTTCATTCAGATCTTAAGAGACCCAGAAATCTGCTTTCTGTTTGGCTGATAACTTGAAATCTGCATCTCTGATCTAAGCAGGGCAAAGGATCCTTTGCCTATGCTTGGGCACTGGATGAGAGTGCTGAAGAGAGAGAACGAGGAATTACGATGACAGTGGCTGTTGCCTATTTCGATACCAAGAAACACCGTGTTGTCTTGCTCGACTCTCCTGGACACAAAGATTTTGTTCCAAATATGATAGCCGGAGCAACACAAGCAGATGCCGCGATTCTTGTCTTAGATGCGTGTGCAGGAGCTTTTGAAGCTGGTTTCGATAATTTGAAAGGCCAGACAAGAGAGCATGCACGAGTTCTTAGAGGTTTTGGGGTCGAGCAGGTTGTGGTGGCAGTCAACAAAATGGATACTGTTGGATATTCCAAGGATCGATTTGATTCGATTAAACAGCAAGTAGGGACATTCTTGCATTCTTGTCGTTTTAGAGATTCATCTCTAATATGGATTCCATTGAGTTCCATGGAAAATCAAAACTTGGTGACAGCTCCATCTGACAGCCGTCTATCCTCATGGTAGATTCTCCATTC